TTTATCTGTTGAATTCTTATGCATCTTCTAAAGTCAAACTTCCAAGGCTCTTCTTCCACAATGTATTCTCTGATCCCTCCCTATTGGCAAAGGCTTCTCACATAGAACATCAACAGCTCTTTTGTTTTGCACCTTTCTCTTGACTTTTTTTTTAATAATGATGTGTATTATAGCAAACTATGTTTGTGTCATACTCTTACAAAGTTTTAATCTCTGTGAGGACTGGAAGAGTGTCATAATTCTTTGTATCCAGCATTAAGTACAATGCTTTACAAATAACTACTTAATTAAGACGATAACCACTTTTTCCCAATGAATATCAATTACATTTCAGAAGATAGATTTTATATTTAAGTTATATATGTATGTATATATATATGTATGTATATATATATGTGTGTGTATATATGTATGTATATATATGGCAACTTTTTTAATATATTAAAGTTTTTTATTGTGGTTTATGTGAAAATCAGCATTTTGAATTTAATCCTTAATTATGAATTTAATATTGAAGTTGTTCAGTAATAGTATGAGACAACTGTGATTATTAAGAGTAGAATAACCATAGAATTGAATAATCATGGATCTCTTGAGGCTGACTGGATCTTTTTGAGGTTATTGCCTATAACAAAACTCACTCTTAGCAAATTGTGAAAATAATCTGTTATGGAATGAAGATCAAGTAATTGATATATTTTAAGATACAATCAGATGAATCCTAAAGGTAAATTAAAATCTATTCAATTATTACATATGAATATAACTTGTGGTTTCAGGAAACATGATAGAGTTGGAGCCAAAAACCTGAGAATGTTTGAACCATACTACTTACCCATGTGACCCTTGGCCAACATTCATTGCTTCTCTTGACTGCAGATTCTTTCTTTGAGGAGTTTTTAAAATTGGGGAGAGGGGCTTGAATAAATTGCCTCTGCCATCCCTTTCAATGTTAGATCTATAATCCTATAACTATTACTTCTGTGGCTAAACATGGCTTTTCTAATGCTATCTAAGATTATGCTAAGTTCTTGTCATCATGAAACATACTATTTATTTACTCTTATTAAATGATTTGGGTAGTTAGGTGGCACAGTGGATAGAGTACCAGCCCTGGAGTCAGAAGGACCAGAGTTCAAATATGACCTCAGATACTTACTAGCTAGCTGTATGACCTTGATCAAGTCACTTAGCCCAGTTGGCTTAGTTCCTCATCTGTAAAATGAACTGTAAAAGGAAAGAGCAAGCCATTCCAGTATCTTTGCCAAGAAAACCTAGAATGGGGTCGTGGAGAGTAGGGCATGACCAATAAAAAAAAAAACCAAAAATTAAAGGACTTAAGAAATACACCTGAAAGAATGTAAATCCAATTTCTTTAATTTAATGCTATGAGTTTATTTAATAAGCATATCAAACCCCTTGGATTTAATTCAATCCAACAATTCCTAACTATTGAACTTCTACATCATTTTTTTTCCCAAATAAGCTGCCGCTAAGTCAGGTCCACCTGTTTCCTGTATGTGTGCAATTAAAATTTTGAACTGGAATGAGTAAAGATTATAATTAAGCCCTCTGTAAGATATGAATAGATAATAAGACATAACTAGGACCAATGATGAAAATAAAATGGTGCCAAGTATCATAATTTATTTTGATACTTAGTTTTCTGTGTTTCTCAGATCAAAGACAACCCCTTTCTCTCTTACCTCACTGACCCTCTTCATCTGTGAAATGGAGATAATAATGAGTCTAAGTGTCAAATTTACAGGGTTCTCATAGAACTGAAATGAGAAAATGTGTGCACAGTGATTTGCACACTTTAAAGTGTCTTGGATCTAAAACTGAAGGAGGGTAACTTGGAGGTTATCTAGTCTGACTTAGCTTATTTTACACATAAGGAAACTGAGGCCTAGGAACATTTGAGTTCTCCTAGTGTACACAGGTGGTAAATGACTGAGGCATGATTTGAATATAGGTCCTTAGACTCGAAAGGCAGAATTCTTTTCAATGAATCACACTACTTCCTGTAACTGATATAATCTCACCAGTAGGAGATAGCTGGGTAGTATAGTGGATGAAGTGTGGTACTCAGGATGATTTGATTTAAAAATTTACCAAACATTTACTTCCTGTGTGTGACCTTGGGCAAGTCACTTAACCTCTGCAAGTCTCAGGTTCCTCATCAGTAAGATAGGAATAATAATAGCACTTACCACACAAGGTTGTAGTAAGGAACTAATAGAGATTGAATTCCTCCCCAGGCCACACTCCTACCTCTCCTTGAAATGTTCTTTACCGAGCCATGGAAACTCTAGAAGCTCACATCCCTCCTGGGCTTCATAGATTAAAAGTATCCACCTTCCCTGTGGCCTTTCCCTCCAATTGGCTGGTTCCTCTGAGAGCCACCATTTTAAGGAGGGTGCAAAGGCCAACCAAATCGTCATTCCTTTCTAGGTAATGCTTCTGACAGTTCAGATTTGATGTACTATGTGCCCCTGCAGAGCGTATTATCATCTCCCCTGCCCAACTCCAATCCACCCACACACACAAACCTCTGTCTCCTTTCCTTTTTATTCACATCTTTCCTCTCATATGAGCAGGGCTTTCCCCTTACTCTTCTCTGGGTTCTTCTATATTATTTAATTGATATTTTAAAATTACTTCCTTTCTTCAGGCTCTCATTTCCAATCTGAGTTGTCTTTAGATTTTTTTTTTTCACCAAGGGGTCAAACCTTATTTTCTTTTTTTCCCCTTCCATTTATGAAAACTTGAAACATGTTAGAACCTAATAAAATAGCAAATAGTTTTTAACTAGTTACACAAACGTTTCCCCACATTGTAGTCATAATATCTATGTATGTCTATTTTTTTCTTCTTTTTTTTTTTGAGAGATAGATACAAACTAACACAGTCACAGAGTAATTTTCCAAATGATACTTCAAAGGAGTCCTAATTCTCTTGAATGATTGAGGAAGTACAAAATAGTTTCATAATATTGAAGAATTTTTTGAAACATATGCAACTTATTATTATTGAGGATGAAGTTCTTAGCCTGTTTTCTTCATCAGACTCAAATAACAAAGATATCATCAGATCTTATATGATGGAAAAATCTGCCTAACTTAAACTTCAGAGTTTTAAATGACAAGTCATAATTTCTGTTAGCACAAAGCTATTTTAATCACATTTTTAAAAATTAAATATTTTATAAGTTTAATATTACATATTAATACAACCAACTAAGCTTGCTTAGTAAATATTCACATTTAAATTTCCAAATCTAGAAAGCAAAATCAGTGTGACAGAATGGATAGAGAGCTAGTTTGGAAGCCAGGAAGATGTGGTTTCAAGTCTTATCTCTGACATAGACCAGGCAATTTACTTAACCTGTAAGTGATCTAGGCAATTTTCTAATATTATAAATGACGGAATGCCTACCAATATTAGCGGAATGAGTTTTCTCACCCAGCAGTTCCCTATACAAGTGAAATCACATGTTCAGTCCCTATCCCAAATGTAACACAAAAAAACCCTTCAGGATTCTTCATTAATTCATTCATTTGCATCCGGTTTTCCTATTATGCCATCATAATATACTGCGTTCTTCTAGTTTTGCTTTTTTTCTTTTTTTCAACTTTAAATGGATTCAAGAAGATCTTTCTAGGTTTCTTTGTACTCCTCAAATTTGTAGGTTCTTCCTAGAATTATATTAATCCATTTCATTAACATATCAATCAATTATTAAGTATCCATTTTGTGTCAGCTCCAGTACTAGCTACTGGGACTACAGATAAAAATAATGAAAGAGTAGTTACTGTATTCTCAGGCAACTTAACTTCTTTTACATTAAATTTGGCTAGTCAATTATTTGTTAGTGGTTTCCAGGTTTTGGCAAGTACTAACTGTTCTGCTATGAAAATCTTAGAAAAAGTACCTACTCTGTTTGTTTTTGATAAGGCTCTCAAGTTTTATTCTCAACAAGAGAAGTATGAGGTGAATAAAATGATAATAATAAGATCAGTAAAAATATTATATAGCACCTACCATAGACCAGTCACCATACACTTTTCAATTATTATTTCATTTTATCCTCACAACTTCCTGGGAGGTTGCTGCTAGTATTATCCTCGTTTTACATTTGAGGAAAAAGAAGCCAACAGAGGTTAAGTGTTTTATCCAAGGTCATTCAGCCATGAAGTGTTTGAAGCTAGATTTAAAGTAAAATCTTCCTGATGACAGCCTCAGGGCTCTATGTACTACACTACTTAGCTGCCCTTAAAGGATCAAAAATACTTTTTTAATATTTTTAGAGACTATTACACATAAAAACAGTTATAACCCATTAGATAAAGCCCTGTACTGTTAGGCAGATCTGGAATCTAGTCATAGCTCAAAGAGCTATTAACTGTGTGATCTTGGAAAAAACATTTGCCTTGTTTGTATCTGTTTATATCTGTTTCCTCATCTGTAAAATGACACAGCCTGGTCAACCTTCAGGGAAAGCAGAGAAAAGAGTCAAAGATAACTACAATGTTGTGAACTAGGTAAATGAAAGGATGGTGGTGCCTTCAACAGAAATAAGGATATTTGAAGGATGGATGGATTTTGAGGGAAATATAATGAATTCCATTGCAGTAGGCCATGTAGTCTAAACTAAATGTGAACAGGAATTATAATTATTTCATACCCAATGATAAGGAATCATTCAGTTTTTCCTTGAGAGAGCACCCATTACCTCTTATTACCACTATTCTACTTTGGAATTCTAACTTCAATTGTTGTGGAGTTTTTTCTTTACATTAGGACAACATTTGCCCCTTTACAATGTCTGTCTAATGCTTCTAGTTCTGTCCTGTAGGGTGAAGCCAAATAAATCTGATCCCTCTTCCACACAGACAGTCCTTCAAATTCTTGAAAACATGTAACAGTCCCAACTGTTATTCACATTATCAATATATCATGGTGAACATTCACTGTTGATTCTCTCCACTTGTTTACAGTAAAAGAAGCCATGAATCCTATCAAGTTCAACCGATGGGGTCTACCAGAAGTAGATCCAGAGACTATGCAAACCAGTGAACCATGGGTATTTGCAGGTGGTGACATTGCTGGTTTGGCTAATACTACAGTGGAATCAGTGAATGATGGCAAGCAGGCTTCTTGGTATATGCACAAATACATACAGGTATGTCTACCTTTTTAGTTTCAATTGATATTCACTTGACATAGTTATTCATTTGTTGTTGCTATTAAATATAAGACAAAGGATTTCTGTGACATATTATATATGGGAAATGTCTGCTATGGATGAGATGGAGGAATGTGCCTGGGATAATAACATATTTGAGTGGATTTTCTGATATAGTATCCAGAGATTAATGGCCAACATAGAATTAGAGGCCACAAGTCTCTTTGCTTGATCTTATCCAATTGAAACATCTATCTATCTGTCTGTTTTTATGTCTATCTGTCATCTATCTCTTTATCCATTTCTATCAATAAGTTAGACAAAGATAGAGAAGCTGTGTTAATCAAATATTCATACAAAGCAAAGCTGGAAGGGTAATTCAATGAATCAATATTTAAGATAATCTCAACAGATAAGAAAGCTGAAACCAAACCAATAGATGACATTTAACAGGAATAAATGTAAAATTCTTCCTTTAGCTTTAAAAATCAGTTAGACAAGTATTGAATAGGAAAGGCCTAGCTTAGCAGAAGTTTATTTGGAAAATATCAACATGTTTTAATTGACCATAACCTTAATAAAACTCAGTACTAACAAATTGTTATTTGTAAGATACAAAATCTTGGCAAGAGGATAGTATCTAGTCATAGAAGTGATGATTCTGATCTGTTCTTTTTAAGTTAGATTCACTTTTGACATTTGCTACTTGTGTGCCATTGAGTGAGTCATACATCGATTGGTTCAAGGAATTAGGAATCTTTAACCTACAGAAGTGAAGACAAAGGGAAGAGAATCATTCTCTTCAATTATTTGGAGTATTGCTATCTATAAGAAGGAATAGCCTTCTCGTGTTACTCTGAATATCAGAGGTAAGACAAATAGGAAAAAGAAAGAGACAAATTTCGGTTTAATTTTAAACTAACAGTGAGATGAGTTGATTTTGAGATAGTGACAGATTGACCATCCAATTGACCATCCCTTAGGTATTATGAGGAGATTTAATTTCACTGAGTAGGAAATTAGGTCAATAGATTAAACTTCTAATTCTAAAGTTCTATACGTGGAAGATAAATGCATTCTTGTTATTGATTTGACTTTTTAAAAATTATTTAATACCTCACAACCTCTCATGGTGTTGATTCCCTCCATGGTTTCTACTCTTGAGCTCTCAGAGCTTCTCTCACCTTTATTCTCCCCCAAAAAATCTTTTAGGATTTGAAGGGATAGTTTAGTACTAAAAGTTCAGCCCCACCAATTCTGCAGTCAAGACAAACTCCACAGAATTTGACAAAGGGAAATACTTGAGGGATAGAGATGCTTTCTACTCAGCTCACGGGCATTCATCTCCTGATATTCTTGGTTACACCAAGAAAAATGCTGCAAAAGAAAATTTGGGGTTACTGAATCAGCTAAGTCAAGTAGGTTGCATAAGGTATAATTCCCAATGTGGCATTTGAATCAGTTCTAAATCACACAAATTATTTCTGCATTCCTGACAGTGTTATGTACAAAGTACTAAGCAGAGTAAAAAGTATTCATGAGCAAAGACAGTGAAAGAAGTAACACATAAAAGGACAGAAAATTAAGTACATTTATGTGCATTGTTCTACCATATATAGTTTAGTAATGAACCTACTGAATACGAAAAAAGTTGAAGATGTAAGTTTGGAAGATAAACCTCTTTTAAACTGTTTCCACGGCAACATGCTTTTACAACTTAAATACTTTTTGTTCATCACCATCTCATTTGAAGATTTTCTTTTTCTTTTTCATTCTTTAATGAATTATGTCTATAAGCTCCAATTAACTGGAACCTAAATAATGAATTATGATATGGTTAATTCTCTTGCAGTATAAATAATGCTAGTTTGTCATCACCACATACAATTTTATAGTATGTGCATCATGCTTATCAATGCCTTGTTGCATAGATTTGCAATTTATTTAAAATAATTAGCATTATATGCATTCACTAATAGACTTTGGACACTGATAGAGATGTTGCACAAGAAGGCTATTATCACATAGAAAAGATAGTTTCATTATTTTATGACCACTTAAAGTGAGGGAAAATCAATATAAAGAAAACTTGTAAGAGACTCAACTTTGAAAATTGAGGGAAAACAAGTGGACAAAATATGGAAAAGATCTGCAGAGTTTTTTGTTTTTGTTTTTGTTTTTTTTTGTTTTTGTAGCATACTCTTCACCATCAAGGATGGTGTAGACACTATTCTTGAACTCTAATGTCATTATCCTGAAATACCTATAAACGGATATGATACTGAAGAAACCAAACATAGAAAAGACAGCTGGGTTATACAAAATGTACATAAAGGAGATCCATATAGGAGAAGACTAATTTTCAGGCCTGGTGATACTATTCCCAAAATATCTGAGGGAAAAAAATACCAAAGATATAAGAAAAAAATCTCATTATTAATGAAAAAGCCACCCCAAAACCGCCAACAATATATATCTATCCCTATTTCCAATTTCCTTGCCTTTTTCTCTCTCAGTATTTTCCCTATCCCTTTTCCTATCTCTGTCTTTATTCTGAGAGTAATCTGCATATTCATTTAGAACTTGATGGTGAAGATACAAGAAGGATACCTGAAGGGCTTAATCTGCAATATTCCACAGTAAACCATATTGTTACCATCATGAAAGGTATGGAAAATATATGGTCTCAATGTGCTTATTGTTAAGTTCTCCAGAGGTGGCCCACCCAACATAATGGAGACTTTTCTTAACCTTTCTTGCATCTTATAGAATTGATAGAAGAACATAGATAAGAGTCATACAAGATGGGCAGGTATGGTGGGATGACCAACTACATTGTGTTTTGTTTTGTTTTGTTTTGCTTTTTGGTGAGGCAATCTGGGTTAAGTGACTTGCCCAGGGTCACACAGATAGTAAGTGTCAAGTGTCTGAGGCCAGATTTGAACTCAGGCCCTCCCGACTGCAAGACCACAGCTCTATCCACTGCTCCACCTAGCTGCCCCGACCAACTGTATGGTGAAGGGAATATGCTCATCAGTGAAATTTCTGATCTTTTTGAGTACTGAACTGATAGGTCATGATATGACCTGTCAATGAGTGGAAGTAGTTTGCTCCACTTTGAGGGCTAATTAATCCACACAGTATAGCATGGATTCATACATGCCATCAGTGCAATTATATAGTTAGAATTGCTTTGTCAATATACCTTCCACATCAATAAGCTTGTTTGAATTAGGACATTCATTAAGACATTTGGATTATCTTCACAGCTGGGTAGCTAGGCTTTCTCTTAGCTGTATTGGCAAGTTTCCCTTGTCAATGTTTTCCCCATTTACTGTTCATCATTCTTTCATGTTAAGCTGGTCCTCCTGTCTTTCCTCTCTTAGAGGACTCAAGTGAACTTCATTTAATTTTTTATAAGAATATTAGTGGAGTCCACATCTTCTACTAGGCATCTTGTTTGCTGATACACTTTTGGGGAAGCTTTAAATAACAAATGCTGACAATGTACTCCAGATGAAAATATGTGTTTAAATGACTGAATATAGATAAAATCATGTTTTTAGTAACAGCAAATTAGCTTGTAAAGAACATATCCCATTACCCAGATCTGCTGAGTTAATTTATTCAAGAAATTTTTTTGTGGCTGCCATGTGCCTAGCACTAAGTAGATAATGGAGTAAGGAGTGGGGGAGAGAGATGATGAAAAGAAGCAAATGGTATGGCCCCTGTGTTGAAGGATATTATAGTAAGATGAAAGATAACTTAGTAAATCATTATAGAATAATGCAATGAAATTTATAATAAAAAGTTAAACAATATCATAGAGGCCAAAATTTATAATGATAAAATCCCAAAGATGTTCAGGAAGAGGGCTGATCAATGGTGGCTGGGATTATAAGAATTCTTGGCAGAGATGAATTTAAAATGACCCTTATAGAATATCTATTCTTTGAATGGGAGAATAGTATTAGCAGAAAAACAAGCAATTGAGTGAAAAATGACAATATGAGGGATTATAGATTGGAGTGAAAGTTAAGGATGGATTGACAACATCTTATAAATTAGATACAGTGATACTATAGTGGATGTGAAGATGAGGAATTTAAATTTATTTCATAGACAGTGGAGATTATTTGAAAGATGCAAATTTTTATAACTTTACTATGAGTTACTATAATTCTCTTATCTGTGGAAGTGCACAGATCTTATAAATATTTACGAGGAGGTATAATAAATTTATTGAAATAAAAATTTTCATCCTATGAACTCTTTTTTCTTTGCCTTATGGATTAAAAAAACACATATCAATTGATGCAACCTGCTCTTCAAAGTATTCTTAAATTTTTGTCCTTCTTTAAAGATCTTTGAGAGAGAATTGATATGATAAAAATAATGTTTAAATATTAGTCTGGTGTAATGCTGAAAAGATTTGGAAAAAAAAAAAAAAGATTAGAGGCAGAAAGACCAGACTGGAAACTATCTCTATTAATCTGCATATGAGGAAACTAGGGTGTGGTTTAAGGCAGTGGAAGTGGAAGGCATCAATCTAAAATAGATATTGAAAGAAAAAATGCTAGATTAAAGTTAGGATACAAAATATAAGAAACATTAAAACCATAGGGACATATTGGTGCCTTATTAGACATGGAAAAATAGTGAAGAATTCTTTTAGGAGGAAAGATATGTTTTGGTGATGTTAAGTTTAATAATGATATTTAATACATAAAATACTATAAGGTTTATGAGGTACTTAACACAAAACTGGATTGCAGTTAGTACAAGTATTTTGCTCATTTTACAAATGATGAAATTGAGGTCTAGAGAGGTTAAGCAGTTTGCCCAGAATTATAAAGATGATAAGTGGCAAAAACAAACTAGGATTCAAACATGTCTTTTGTGATTTTAAATCAAACTTATGGAGGATCACACAGCCAGGATACATCAGAAGATGAACTTAAACTCAGATCTTCCTTGATATGAAGCCAGCTTTCTCT